CCAGTTTGTTTAGCTGCTTTAAAAAACAATCTTACTTTCATGCTTTACTGAAAGACTATTCTACCATCTTAGGAGAATTATGCATTCTTGATTGTTTTCTTAACAAAAAGATCTAAATTATTCTTTGTCTCATCACATTTTCCTTATTATCTCCCTTTGGACAGAATTAGTTTTGTTAGAGAACTGAGAGAACAAAAAGCTGCTAAATTGGTAAAACTTACATTCTGTGGAGCATCTATCTCTAATTAAGTAAGGCACTGTCAAAGGCAAAAAGTTAAGTGTCATTTTTTTCTATTAATGGCTGAGTTCCCAGAATGATTCATATTTTAGCCTATGATATCATCCTTATTTAAGTGCTTAGACAGACAAGTAAACACTTAAGAGAAATAGAATAAGATGAAAAGGGAAGTAGAAATAAGTCACAATCCAATTCAGGCTTTAGCCCGAGTGTTGTATTTTGTTTTCATTCAGAAGATCATTGTGGTTTTAGTGGCAATTTTATTGGTTTGGGATTTAATTTTGTCTAACGGTGGCATTAATGCTATATGGAAAGCACCTGCTTTCATTTTCTGAGTCCTGTTAAGAAAGTTAATCCTGAGAGGGGGTTCTGGGAGGAGGGGTGGACGGAATGCTTTCTCCCCTTCTGATTCCAATTTATCTCCCCGTCTTGAGCCAAGCAGCTTCTGAAGTCAGAAGGCCTACAGGAATGAGGGAGAATTAGGCTCTGCAGGAGGAGTCCCCATACAGAGCTGAGGCGGGATTTTATCTCGCCCACTGAGAGCCTGGGGGTTGATGCAGGAGAAGCCTTAGGTAAGGCCCAGAATGTGGCAGATCCTAGAAAGATCCTGCAAAAATCTTCATTCCTCCCAGATTCAGGTCATAAAATGTTAATTCCAAGGCAATAATGCAGTATTAGTTAAAATCTCACAAAGGACTTTTAAGGGGGATTATTTGAAATTATTTTAAAATTTACTAAATATTGGATTACTATTTCTTAGAGAAAGAAGATGAGATACCTAAGAATAGGCGGGACAAGTCTGAGAGACACATGGTGGTGATGGTAGGGAGGGGGGACCACCTGACTCACCCTCAGAACTTACTCTAAAACCATCGTGGTGTCTCAGTGTGGTCCCAGCACAGGAGTAGATCAATAAATCAGTGGAACAAAATAGAGCCTTTCTCAACCAGAGTTCTTCCAGTGAGTGACAAAACAGAAAATGACTCGTCATTTTCTTGATTTTTGCCAAGGATAGAACTAGTACCGTTCTAGATGCTTTGGAGAGAAGTCCATTCATTATATGTAGTAAATGTATTAGGCGTCACGGTTTAGTTCTCTTATAGAACCTATGGCGAGAGAGACTAGATTCTTCAGAACTGCAATATGGCAGAGGTAAATTCTCATAAAGGTGAATTTCACCTTTATGAGAAAAGGTGTTTTGTTTTTGTAGCAGTGCAGGCACAATTGGCACATAGGGGAGAAAATGAATTTCAACCCTTGGGTCATATCATGCAGGAAATAAATTCCAGAAAAATTCAAACCTGAGATGTAAAAATGAAAACAAAAATCTTAGAAGATAATCTTGGATTCTACATGTAATAGTGTATGAATTGCGCATACCTTAAATAAATCAGAATACCCCAAATTTTAGTTTAATTTAATTCAGTTTAATTTAAAATTATACCTCTCAGAGTATATCAACTGTGAAGTCTTTGATTTGGCTTAATAAAAGATACTTTATATACCTATGTCAATATGCAGAAATCTATTTGGAAAAAATACTTGAAATACAAATGAATAATATTTAGGTGAATAATATACAGATACACTTTGAAACTAGTGAGAAAAAATCAAAATTCCAATAGGAAAAAATAACCAATGATATGAATAAGTAATTCCTTCACATAGAGTTCTGAAAAGGCATCACTAATCTATAGTGGCTGCATTGGAAGTGAATAGGGTTTGCTTGCAAGTGGACAGGATGGAATTTTCTGAAGTAAAGAAAATATTCTGTGTATGATGGAAATACTTTGTCAGAAGTCTTTGAACTGTGTATTTAAAAGGTGTACATTTATATATGTAAATTATATCTCAGTAAAGTTGATTTTAAAGGTGTAGTTACTACCTTTCAGTGGTAATGTTTTAAAGTATGTTAACTATCGTAATTAGAGCTGTTGGGCAAAAACATGTTTTCTGACTTTTCTTGTAGAAAGGTGAATTTTTAGAGCCTTCATGGAAGCAACTCTGAAACCTCTATTAAGATAAAATTATCAAATTATACCTCTCAGTCCAGTAGGCCTATTCCACAAACTCTGTTCCATAGAATAAAAATCTAAGTACGTAAAAACATGTACACAAATATGTTTAATGCAGAACTGTTTTTAGTGGCTAAAACTTGGGTACCAAGTAAATGCCCATTTGTAAGTGAGTAGCCAATTAAATTATGGAGCATCTTAATTACAAGATACTATATAGCTATTTAAAAAGATGGGTAAGAACTACATCACATGAAAGGGTTTCCATGAGGTGTTGTTAAAGGAGAAAAGTATAATGCACATAAGAAAACCAGATAGGCTTATTTCATTTTGGAAAAGCATATAGCACTGTTAAAAAACAAATTAATATAAAGAAACATCTTTTAATATATGTGCGGGAAAAACACTGAGGGATATATTCGAGAAGGTTGACATAGTTTACCTAGCGTGAAGGGCAAGATATGTGAGGGGGTAGGAGAGGAGAAGAGGAATAGAGACATAAGCAACAAAAAAGCAGGACAGTCAGCATCGGAGCAGAACACATGCAGACGAAGTATCCCATGTTTGCACCATTTCATACATGTGCATAAATTAGGCCCCTATGGCTCAGTGGGTGAGGAGTCCACCTGCAATGCCAGAGACACAGGAGGTGCAGGTTGGATCCCTGGGAAGGAAATGGCAACCCACTCCTGTATTCTTGCCTGAAAAATGCCATGGGCAGGAGAGCCTGGTGGGCTACAGTCCATGGGGCTGCAGAGAGTCGGACACCACTTAAGCGACTGAGCACAGCCCAGCATAAACTAGGAGAGAATGTTAGGGTTTTATGTGCTGGCATATAGATACTGGTAATATACATTCACAGTGTAGAAAGTATGTTACATAGTGAAGTTTATAACACAGTTATATTTTCGTAAATGAAAGAATCTCTTCAGATGAGTTCTTGTCAAGTCTGAGTCGGAGCAACTCTCTTGTTTCTAGATTTCTTTCACTTTCTCCGAGAAAGTTTCCAGAATATTTCTCTTGACTTTTAGGTTCCTCAAGTGGATATCCATTTATTTTGGAGAGTTAAGACTAAAACAGAGCAACAGTTGTATGGTTCTCCCGTTACCTTCTACACCACACCATTGATAGTATTAATTGGATGTTCCCCACAGTCAGATTTGCATAGACTGCAGAGTTCTTTTGCTACCATGGACGACAGAATGAAAATTGAATAGCTCTAGCTGCTTGGGTTTGCAGTTGATTCCACTTGGTTTTTCACTAAAGAATATGCAAGGAAGCACAATCAGGTCTCAGCTGGTGTCTTTTAGCCCTCCATTTTTTTGTTCTGGCTATACATTTTATGCTTTTATTTCACTTGACTCTGGATGGTGAGAATATATAGCTAATTTGAGATGGGGCAAAGCAATAGAAGTGTTGATCTAGAAGAAACCCTGCATCTGTGGTCAGCATTGCTTTAGATTTCTTTCAAATTATAGTGTATACTTCTGTCACTGTTTGAATTTTCTGTGGCCTTCTTACTTAGAACATAAACCCATTTTTCACTGTCTCATAAATAGAAGATTTGCTAAGTGAAGAGCTGTGTCTTTCATTGAACTATCCTGTTCCTCATCTTTGAGAAAGCATTGGTTCTCCATGTGTGTCATACATATTTATATCTATATCTCCCCATAAACTTCTCTGTGTTTGCTACAGGAAACTGAAAGAGTGTTTCAGTTCCCTTAATTACGTTTACCAACATAAGACTTGTCACCAGACTCCTTAACCCCATTGTAATTGATTAAAACAGAGTATTTGGAATACCTTGGGATACACATGCATGTGCGTGCACGCACATGCACACGCGCACACACACACATATACTTAAAAGAATCCAAAGCAAGATTCACTAATACTGTAGCCATCCTACCTGATATTTAAATGTAAAGCATCTTAAAATATCAATATTGTTCAACAAGACATCCAGCTCTGGGTATCTTAGCACATAGAATGTTTTGTAAGTCCAGCAAAGCACTCAGTTTGAGACCCAAATTGAGTGTTGCAGACAGTGTTGGAATATCTGTATGAAGAGCACTGCCAGTGGATATTTGTATCCCATTAAATTCTTTCATTTCAAGGTTTCTGAGAAGGTTTAAAAATAAAATATCTCCAACTCCTGATTAAAAAAAAAACCTGAAGACCCCTATTCTAAAGATAATCTGCCTGGATGTGATCAAGAAATCTTTAAATTATTAACTCAAACTTCAAACTTCTGTGCTACAAACTAACCATCATTCAAAAGCATTTTGGTGAATCATATTTTCTGCTCTTGAGGCCTGACTTTTTGCATGGACAGCCATTATTTATTTAGCTGTGAATACTTAAATATTGATCCTTACACTTAAAGATTAAAGTATATCAAGGCAGAAATTTAAAGAAGTCTTAGACCTGATTAATTAATCACTTAAATTGAGTGGAAAAAATAACATGCACACACAATATGCAAAATATAATTACTCTTTTTTCATTGGGAATTTCTGGAGAGTATGAAACTCAAAAGTTGGAGAGACTATGATGAACTGGCATTACTCAATGTTAATAGAACCAATGTAAGTATAGGAGAGTTAAGAAGAGCATGGGAATGTCTTTAATATGAATTCTTTAACTTTTAAAACATGAAAGAAATGGTAATTAATTCAAAGCACTAATATTTTAGAAATTAAAAAGTTTTAATTTTTTTTTCTTTTTTCTCTTTTGGTTTTAAACAGGCCATATACTCCTTTGAAAGGAGGAATCTCCAATGTATGGTTTGACAGACTTAAAATATCAAATGACTGCCCAGAGCACCTTGAATCAATTGATGTAATGTGTCAGGTGCTTACAGATTTGATTGATGATGAAGTAAAAACTGGCATCAAGAAGAACAGAATTTTAGTAGGTAAGATTTTTAGATGTTGGCAATTTAAATATTTTGATCCACTTGTTTAATTCGATACTTTGGATTTTACTTGGAATGTTATTTGGAAGCACTTTGTATATATCATATGAGACCTATTCATAGTTTCCCAGGTAGTGCAGTGGTTAAGAATCTAGCTGCCAATGCAGGAGATGCAAAAGATGTGGGTTTCATTCCTGGTTGGGGAAGGTCCCCTGAAGGAGGAAATGGCAACCCACTCCAGTATTCTTCCCTGGGAAATTCCATGTAAAGGGCTATAGTCTGGGCTTGCAAGAGTCGGACATGACTTAGTGACTAAACCACCACCATTGTGTTGTAAAGAAGTTTAGAATGCACTTTGAAATCCTGTACAGACAGGATTTGAGCAAACTAATAAACTGCCTTTGTGTTTATTGAAGTACTAAGCTATTCATTGAGTTAAGAAGCAGTGTGATATAATGGATGGAATCCATTCTTGTCTGTCTTGGCTTCAGTATTCACTTTCGTGAGTTAAAAGCAACTGGCCCTCCAGCCCAGTGACATCACCCTGCCGGGCCTTTGTTTCCTCGTCGGTGTTAACTCTGTTTCTGTGTTTCACACCATGTCACAGATATAGATGTAGAACATTATAGGAGTGTTGTGAAGAACCCACTAAAGGGGTTCCAGCGCAATCTAGGGCATCATGAAACAGTTACAAGATAGAACTCAAGATACATGAGTGTATAACAGAGTCTGTCATTCGATCATTTAGCAAACATTTTCTAAGTACTGTGTGTCAGGCAATAAGTCGAATGCTCAAAGAGAAACAGGTAAATACAACAGGATCTATGTGCCCCAATTGCTTATAACCTAGAAGAGCCCATGAGGTACTTGTAATAACTGTCCTGCCAACTAGCCTCGACAAGTTGTCCTAAAGCTATATAACTGGCTGCTCTTCAAAGGGAATGATCATGTATATTTATTTTTATTTCTCAGGACCCATTGCAATGCCTGGCACAGAACTGAACATTTATAATCAGTGGCATGATCTGATCAGTAAACTGATGATTTAAGTAATTGGAATTTAGATGAAGTCTATTAGGAGACAATTTAAGAAAAAAGTGCCAAAGACATCTGAGATTTTAAGATGTGCAAATAAAATTTTAACTATTGTAGTATGGATATCTAGATATAGAGAGTGATATGAATGGCAAATAGAAGTAGAAAAAGTAGTGCTTGTTGTTGTCTGACTGGATGTTAGATTATTTTAGCAGAAAGTTTGTTGTGTGACTGAAAATGCCTATTGATCTCATAGTTCGACTAACAGCTAGAAGAGCATGATGGAATAGTGACAAAAATGGTTCAAATCTGAAGTCCACCATTGCCCAGCTGGTTCATCACTTAATAACCTGCACTGATTTTCTGCTGCCTCATCTGTAAATTGAGAATAATGATACAGTATCTATTTTACTGGGAGACTGAGTGAGTGAGTGAAGTTACTCAGTGGTGTCTGACTCTTTGTGACCGTATGGACTGTAGCCTACCAGGCTCCTCCATCCATGGGATTTTCCAGGCAAGAATACTGGAGTGGATTGCCATTTGCTTCTCCAGGAGTTCTTCCCAACCCAGGAATTGAACCCAGGTCTCCTGCATTGCAGGCAGACTGCTTACCATCTGAACCATCAGGGAACTCCCTTACTAGAAGATGATGTCTGTCAAATACTTGGCTCATTTTACAATCTCAGTAAATTCTTTCTGATTCCCCTTTTATCCTTTATTCTATAGGTAATTGAGGAGCAATGACTTAAGTATGTCTTTGAGTCATATAGTTAATCAGAACTGTGCTTTAGGAAAATTAATCCTCAGAAGGGCTAAGAGAGGAGATAAAAAGTTGGGTATGGAAGAACAAGTTCCTGAATTTATAGGATAGTAAGATCCTGAAGTAGTGTGATGACAGTGTGAATAAGTAGAAAATACACTTAGTACTCTTAATGTGCATGTGTTAAAGCATGTATCACATTGAATTGTAACTATTGATACTTACCTGCTTGTCTCTTCTCCCATCCCTACTCCTTGCCCTTCCCCATATCCATCAGTTATTTCATCTTATTCATTTTTGAAAAGAGGCTATGTATGGATTGTTATAGGGTCAGAGAGTGGATAAGAATTTTGAATCTAGGTTTACTTCATTTTAAAGCCCATGATTCTTCTGTTTAACTGAACATTTGTATGAATATTTGTAAAACTCTTAATACATGCTGTCAAATTCCTTTCATGAAAACACTGCACCTGTTGATTCTTCTCCCACCTTTATTAGAATATCCGTCTTATTATACCTTGCTGAATGATACTGTCTTGAAAAATCTTTGCTAAAAATAAGTCAGTTCTGTTCAGTCACTCAGTCGTGTCCGACTGTTTGCAGACCCATGAATCGCAGCACGCCAGGCCTCCCTGTCCACCACCAACTCCTGGAGTTTACCCAAACTCATGTCCATCGAGTCGGTGATGTCATCCAGCCATCTCATCCTCTGTCTTCCCCTTCCCCTCCTGCCCCCAATCCCTCCCAGCATCAGGGTCTTTTCCAATGAGTCAACTCTTGACATGAGGTGACCAAAGTATAAAAATAAGTAAAAAGTGGCAATTAATTTACACTTAATTTACTTTCCTTTTATTTCTATTTGTTATCTTCTGACATGAGAAAGCTGTTTTTAGTTATCTGTTTTTTTCCAAATAACTTCTCAGATTAAGAAGTTATTCTTCTAGAATTTGAGTAAATATTCAAATAGATTTTCTGACTTTTCCATAATGTTTTTTAAATTTGTAATTCTTTGGTTCATCTAGAATTTATTTTAGTTTCTTTCTACTATATCATGAAAGGTTTTAATTATTTTCTGAAGTACCAAGAAAACCTTGTTAAAAGATGATGTTATTTATTAAGCAGTCAGTAATGTGATTGCTATTTTATCATAGCTCCATTGAATTTTTAACAACAAATTTCATCTTAGAAGAGTTATAAACTACTAAATCATAAAATTTGAAATTTATTACAAAAATATATGTAATAGGAAATTTGTATGCACTTATATGAATATAAAATAATGGGGAAAGAGAAAAATTTATTTAGAATTTGTGAGGTGAGCCTATCAACTGTAAAGCCTCTTTCATAGCTTGAGATGTGAAAGAGACACAGAAGTGTAGATTCAAGGTTGTTTGTCTTTGTTACCTATACTGTTAGTTACTTAACCATTCAATGAAAATAAATCTTTGAAGCATTTCTATACAGTTAAACATGTATATCAAAATATATGTGATTCTTGACCTTCTTTATTAAAACACCTGTTATACTGCCTCTTTTTCATATGCTGGATTCTTCACATGGGTTGGCTATTGATGCTTAGAGGAAATGGCATTCTAGTCCTATCAGATTTTCTCTTGTAGTTATTATTATTTTTCTTTTTGTCTTTTATCTGACTGAACTCTCAATTCATTTGAAAATGTGGTACATGAGGCAATATCATTATGTATTTGAATGTTTGTACATGCATTTCCCAAGTTATAAATATCATAATTGCAAACACACTAATGCAGCTGATAGCAGCTTAACATGGTTAAGAACTTGGGCTGTGCACTCAAATTCCAAGTTTCTAATCCTAGATCCAGTGCCTATTTTTGTGGGTATGTGTGTCCTTAACCTCTGGGCTTGGGTGATAATAAATAGTACTCATAGAGTTGTGATAATTCAATTAATTAATTCATGTGAAATGCTTGGAAACATGCCTGGTGTGTTGTTAGACACTTCCCTGCCACCTGCCCTGTCGTCTCTCCACACAGCAGTAAGGCTCTGCTGGACCCCGCTGCCCTTGGGAGACTCGCAAGGAGCTCAGTGTCCGTTCCCCACCAGCTGTTCTCTTTCCCTAATGGTATACATGCTGATTTTCATTGCTCATAGATTGTTTAAGATTTAAATGCTATTTTTAACATTTTAATCAAGGAGGTATTCAATGAGAAGTCAAAGAAAAGTGCATTTGAGATGCTGAGTCATTTTTATTAAAAGAACAATGCATTTGAGATGCAGGAAATACATATATGAACAACACAGGTTAGGTTGTATTTTTTAATGAATTCTAACAGAAAAAACTTGAAAATTAAAGGATTAAAAAGGAAAACATGGAGATAATAAGTACAAAATTATTATCCTTATTTTGTTTAGTATGTGATAAAATTTCAGATTTAATATCACACTGTATCCTCATGGAACCCTTGTCTCTGAGATTGTGGTTTTAACCAGTATAGTTTTGTAAACAAAACTATTCTCTATATTTGAATAAATGGCAGCCCATTCTTTTTTTCTGGTTTTATTTTGATTAGTGATATTTTATTATATTAAACTTAGTTTAAAAACAATGTTTTCATGGTATATGATATACCCCTTTTCCAGTACTTTACACAGCTTAGTCAGGTCAAAAATGATGCTTCTCATACTAAATTTAATTTCCAAATCATTCATAAAACTTTTAAGTGCTGGAGTACCAAAAAAGAAAAAAAATACTATCAAAAGCTTCACATTATAATGAGGGAGATAACAAAAGTAAAGTGTTTTATACAATCCAAGTATTATTGTAAAAGTATTTACAAGGTATATAGTGTGAACAGTGAGGAATGAACACAAATTTGGAGGGGGAGCTGAGAACTGCTTAGAAGAGATCATTTCCAATTGAGTTTTAAAGAATGAATGAGAGTATGGCTGGTAAACAAGAAGGGAAACACATTCATGAAAGAAAACAAGCGACACCTTAAAATGTCTCAGGAGCTACTAGTTTTGTGTGCACTTCAGCTGCTGGGATTATTGAGTTGCATACAGAGAATGACTCAGTTGGATGAGCGTTTTAAAAGGAGTACATTGCTTGGTTTGCTGCTATTTTCTCCCATTCTGAGGGCTGTCTTTTCACCTTGCTTATAGTTTCCTTTGTTGTGCAAAAGCTTTTAGGTTTCATTAGGTCCCATTTGTTTATTTTTGCTTTTAT